GATCGTGAACATTAGTGCAAAGGTTCCTGGGAAAAAACACAAGACAGAAACACCCTCAGAACTCAAATGAAATCAGCTCAGCCCCGGCTTCCAGTTTGCAAGCTGTTGTTCTGAAATTTTGTGCTTATGTCATGCATACTGAATTAAAAAAAGAAAAAAAAACATCCTCAACATCTGTGAATCCACTCATTCTGAAAGAGGATTTCGCTCATGGTGGCATGGGTTGGCCTACTGAGGGGTAAAACTGTTGTTTTATCTCATTGTATCTCATCTCACATAGTAGACAGAAAGATCTTGGTCACCAGGCATCAGCAAGTCTCCGTCCCAGGAAGATGCAACATTTTTTCTCATTAGTGTTACTCCATCAGGGTCTTTGAATCATTATCATGAGAACTCTTCCCTAATAACTTCCCAATTTGTCTTGGAACATGCTGAAACGGTTAATGCCGGTGACAACACAACTCTAGCGTCTACCATTGGGGTTTTCAGAACATTTAAAGCTGTGATGGGATGATGGGTTTTTGCCCCAAGTGGAGGAGGTTAAGGATAAATGTTCACACATGTTGGTAGGGTGGAGGAGGATGGGGAACAAATGGATTTCTTCCCTCCACTAGTTGACAGTGATTGACTTTGGACGCGTGGCGTATCATATGTGAAAAAAAGATGGGTTTTGGTTGAGGGACACATGTAAATGATCTCAATCAGTCAGCGTGTCTTCACCATAATTCCAACGAGGACTATAGATTTTACCCGTCTGTGTCCAGCTGTGTGCATCTGTTTTAAATCATATGAGGAAACATTAAAGCTGTGCTGTCACGTGTTTGTCGTCAGCTTGAACAAACAGGGGATAAAACCGATTTTTAAGAGGTTAGAATGACCACTTCCTGTGGGAAGTCCCCTCAGACGCATACAAACATGCTTAATATACAGATAATCACATACTCGACGGCTATTGCTTGAACAGCGGTGCTTGCACACGCATTACATCCACATTCGCCAGCGGGGTGAACATACACCGATGTGCACCCACTTAAACACATCCCTCGTTTTTCCCCCCAGCCAGACTCCGCAGTGTTTGCATTAGTTCATTGAGTTCTGAATCCACTGTTAGATGAGTCCACAGTGCAATGAGGGGCTGACAATTAGCCTAATGAAGTGCAGCAGAAAATCACACTCAGTGCTGTGTTAACAGTCGCTCGGTGAATATTCATGCGGTTGTTGGTTTTGCAGATGTACTAAAAGGCGGCGCAGCGTTGCTGAATACCAATCGTCGCATTTCCACCCGCCACTCGTCTGGTCCCTCGCCCTGAGGTATCATTCTAATCAGCCTCATTGCTGGGAGGCTTTTTTGGAGTGTGCTGTGTACACAGGCCACATGTGTTATCCAGTTCAGCTGCATCTCAGATCAGACGCGGCTCCTCGCCCGTACGCAGTTTTACACAAAAAGTCTCTTATTCTAAGAAAACCGTTGACTTTTTTTTGGTACATTAAGCAAAATATCTCTCTATGAAAAATATATATGTCTGAGTGTATTTTACCACCAGAAAGTCCATTCACAATGTTTTATTTTCCTAAGTAGTCATGGCTAGAATTGAAATGCGGCTAGATTTAGAATTTGAAAGTTAAATATGAACGTGTCATCGCATCAAGTCTAAAAATTGAAAAGATATGTTAAGTCTTTTTATTGCCATATAATGTGATTCACAAAATAACTTAAATGATTGAAAAGAACTTGAAGATACAGAGAAAAACTATGATATATGACATAGAAAGCAATGTATATTTTAATGTGAAGACATCATCAAATTTTTAATCGTTTTTGTAATTTTCTTTATGTCTAATAAACCTGCCATAAGGACATGTTTACACCTGTAACACGTCATCTATTATGTGATTTACACTAGGTAAAAAAAGTTCACCCACATTAAATTTTAGCCTGCCACTAATGAATTGAAATGGGTAACATGTTTTGAAAACTTGGGGGAAGAAGTCCCCTTATTTTTCCTTTTCCATATCTTGTTCTGCTATTAATGGTGGAAAGTTTTGTATAAAGGTTTTTAATTTCATTGTTCATAAGGGATTTCCAAACGGTAGCATTTTATTATAATTTTTCCAACATATTAATTGTGCAAATCTGAGTGTGCAGTGTGTACTACCCCAAACTAAAAACAAAGTTAGGTCTATTCCCTGTTTTGAGGATTCAACCTGTTTTCTTCTCTTTTCCCCATTAGCTGCTGTTCAATAATCAGCTTCCTGGGACGGACAGCCTGTGGGCCAGTCCAGCCAGATGGACGCAAGATTATCCTCCATTTGATGACATAATGGTATGGTGGCCATTTTCAACCAGCTGGTCCTGAAACAGTGTGAAGGAGACGATGATTGTTATGACCAGCTGGATTAGCAGTGGTGACAGAGGAACAGTAGTAGCACGGCTATGGTCATCAGACGTTCATACCCACGTACGCTGATGAGGAAATGGATGGATTTTCACGTCTAATTATCAGCGTTTCCCTTCAGCAAAATGCAGTTTGTGACATTTTCGTAGACCTTCCTCTTATATTTCACTGTAGTAACTATATTGTTCTTGTTATGGGCAAAAGATGAACTCAGGGACAAGATTGACATAGATTTGAGGATCCACCAATTAAAAAGTGGGTATGTACTTTTATCTTGTAATTAATGTGCTTACAAAACTTGGTTTTCAAGGAATTTTTAAAATGCAAAAATAAACATCTTGTTAGGTCAAAAAACATGTTTTTTTGTGTCACAACTTGCCAGTCAGGTTACAAGCTGAGCAACCAGAAACAGAGAGATCACCACAACTTGTGTGATTACCAGGGTGGGTGGGTTTGGCAAAACTTCCTCATACATGATCATTTGGTCCTTTGCGGGCTGTAAATGTCCTGATAGTGGCTAAATGTAAAAAGAAGTGGGGATGCAGTCATTCCTCCTGGGGAAATATCAGGCTCCAGCCCCAAAAATACGGCAAACACAATATTACCCGGTGTTTAGCTCAACACTGCCACCCAGTGGCACAACAGTGTAAATGACTCAAAAGATTATAGACTATGACAACTGATTATTTGGTGTTACACGACTTTCTGTGCATCCTGTAGTTTGTAATTCGACATGACTCTTTTCATAATAGGAACTAAATACTTTTGTACTCTTATTTATAGAGCTGTCAGAAATGTTGGGTCTAAATACGACTCCTAGTTCCTCACTATCAAGAGTTTAGTTATTAATCGACAGACCCAGGAAAAGGCATCAGAATAAAAGGCTTGACACAGATGTTAAGTTTTACTCGTCTGCAGAGGAGGGGAGAGACCGAGGGGAGGCGAGCTGCTCCTCACCGCCACTCATGGAAACTCACACCAAATTCCTCAAACAGTTGATTTTTATTCAATATAAAGTTCAGAGATGGGTATCTGTACATTTTCCGAAACTGGACCATTAGGATTTGTTATATTTTTGCGTTCAAGATTGTGATCTCTGAAACTGTGTCTGGTGTCATATGCAATACAAATTTGAAATGAATAGGCCTTTAATCCCCCCCCTCCCTCTTAATTTAAAATTGATTGTTTGCAATATCTTTCAAATATATAATCAAAGCTAATCAGGTAATAATGAGCACTCATTACAGTTAAAAAGGCAGTTTCCATAGCAGAACTGGAAGATAAGAAAGCTAAATCTCTGGGCATGTGGTGGAAAAAAAGTGAGTTTATGTCTTGATTGAATCCAGATACAAGGCTGATATCCAACTAGCACAAAATAATCCCCTTAAACACAAAGTTGTGTGGATTATTCCCCGATACCTCTGGGTCCACGCGTACCGCTTCAGAATATTGTGAGGCAATTAAGATTCTCATCAGTGTGCGGACATGAAATGACTCAGACACTTTACATTGTCTATTTCTGAGGTACGCTGAATGCAGCTGGAAGGAAACGTGACAGGCCTCTTTCCCATGAATAGAATTAAATATTAAAAGGTATCAAATCCAATTTTGACCGTGATGCACAGGACAGGTAATCCGGACAGTTTGTACAGAAACATCTGGCCGTGTGAGCTTCCTGTTAGGGGGACTCGAAATGCAAAGAGTCTCCTTCACGTTCGGTTTGTTAGAAATGAAAGAGCGTTCCATTTTCATTTCTGAATGATTCACCCCATTTAAAAGTGCTTTTTAATGTTTTAAGATTTTCCATTTGTGTAATATACCAACAATAGAGCAAAGGCGACCAAGAGCATGCCAAAACAGGATAAAACAAAATTATTTTAGGCAGTTTATTTACCGACACTTGAGTATCTTTTTCATTTTTAAAGAGACGGCTGGAAATTGGCTGAGAATTAGAACTGACCTTAAAAAAGGGCCGTTGAGTTAAAGTAGCCCAAACTTTTCGCCACTCAATGGGAATATCCACAGAAGGAAATAAGAGAGAGAAAAGAAACCCCATAGTGGGCTCTGCTTCAATTGTAAGATGCTTAAGGCCTTAAAAGGAAAGAAAAAAAAGACAAAGAAATGACAACCTGGAGGATCAAAGCGGAGAGACGTCTTCTTTTGATCTTCCGAGCAGCTATTGGAAAACTTGCTGAGAACTGTCATTATGTGGCCCCTGCTGTGTCCTTTACCGTGATTACATAATGCGCTGCTCAACAACAAGGCAGACAACCTTCCAAAAAAAACTTTAATGTGCATGAGAAGACAAACAGATGACACATCAAAGCATACAAAGTGAGTCTTTAAAATTAAGATTAAAGAATAAATGTAATTAACCTTTACAACAACAACAAAAATCCTATAGGAAGGTCTGTTCCCAGACACCTATTTCTCACTTTGGCTATGAACTCCTGAAATCTAATCAAATTGGTTTGCTGTCGACAGTTATAACGACGCTTCTGTGCAAGCTGTGGTCGTGTCTTCCTGAAAATGCAACAAAACTTAAACGCATCTCTAAGGATCAAATAAAATACATGAGGAGATGCGGTGGAGCAGCAGTCCTTCTGAGGGAGGACGACGCAGCCGATGGGGTTCGCGGCTCCTCGGTCCCGGGTAAAACGGCATCAGTGGAGAGGAGAAGCCTCCCTTTGTTTTGCCGTGTCATCGAATCTGAGGCCGTTTGAAAAAAAAAAAATCAAACAAAACACGATTTTCCGCATTTCTGTCAGGCTCCTTGAAGCGTCTTTTCCCAGCTGAGTCCAATTCAAACATTCTGCTGGGGTTTCCTTTAAACGAACTGACACCTTCCCCCTTTTATTTTCTCTGAATCGTGAGACTGTGCCGAGCCATATGGAGCTAGATGTGGTCCCGCAGGGGCTTTTGTTTTCACCAGGTTTGTTCTGACACTCGTCTCCTTTAAGTAAATAAAGAGACCGAGCCGCGGAGGGGTTGAGAGCGACGGGGCGACATGAGCGCGCCAGCTTTCGGAGGGTCTACTTGGAATGTTATGAGAGTTGAAGGAAGCGGGGGGGCACGGTATTAAAAAAAAAAAAAAAAAAAAAAGAAGAGAAAAAAATTCTGATTTGCTGCTTCAGATGGAGTCTCCTTTTTTTTCTGTAGCAACCGTGTAATTAGCCAATAATTACCCTAATTACACTGACGCTAATTAGGCTGAAATTATAGAAACTGGGGGAGCAGTTATTTTAAACTGATCATTTTCTCAGAAGACGGAGATGAGCGCAAAGACTCCATACAGCAGGGCACAGGGGTACGCCACCAGAAACTGCTGGCCGTCCATCGCCAGCGCTGAGATGAAGATCTTTGAGGCCGAGAGACTGCACCAGCCAATGATAGTCGCCGTTAGAACAATTCCCAACATACCCCTGGAGAGGAGAAGAAGGAGAAAAAATCAGCAGGTTAATGGTCGTTTCTGCGCAGTTCCCTTAAAATCGCATTTCCAAATCTCAGTGCTGTCTAGATATAACCGTTAATTTCTGCACTCACTGTAAGGAGAAGATAACGCCGAAGCTGGAGAGGAGGATCATGGGGAGGAGGCAGTATCCCAGCACGCTGGCCACGCAGCCGAACGACACGCCCGTCATGCTCATGAGGTTGAGTAGGCAGTACATGCCGAGGCAGCCGATGGCACTGATGCCGTACACGTAACCAAACTGGATCTTCCCCGACTGGGAGCGGAGGAGAGGACAGCAGCGTACGGACATGTCGGGGTTAGGTCATCGACAGGTCTATTTCATCAGCACTAATAAACAGCCAATGTGTTCCGAGTGCTGTGGTTTCAAAGTAATGGGATATTTTGGAAGGGTTTTGTGTTTCCTAGATATACGTGAAATGTTGTTTAACTGCCGTTTACTGTATAGAGGTGTCTATTAGTGACAGAATATCAGCTAAATATTAGATAAACGCGCCAGGATCTGTTTGTCTCATTCTTCCACTGCACTACAGAAAGTTAAAAAAAAAAAGAAAGCCAAAAAGCTTTTGTGGTAGAAAGATAAGTTCTGAGTGAAGGACCTTTCAGTGTGATGCTCATCTTGACATGTTAAGTATACAAAACCTCAATCTTTAAGGATAAAGTCCACAACAAAACAAACATGATTTCTGTTAAAAATAAATAAATAAATAAGTTCTATCCATTTTCCATTTTACAGGCTCAGCCTTTTAAACCAGAAACCATAACAATGCTATAGATGAGAATGAAAGATACAGTGTGCAGCCTAAAGAAGAAACCAGACATACGTGTGTTATGAGTTTTAGATCCTTCTACTTACCAGGAGAAGTGTCGCCCCAAAAGCCAGACAGAAGACCATAGGTCCCGCCAGGTCCGTCTCGTTCATTATGCTCCCATCCGCTGCTTTCATTGGATGGAGCACCGTCAGAGTCTTCTGCCAGATGTGGTCAAAATTGATTCCCAGCTCTAAGAGAACCAAACACACACACACACACATACACAAAACATCAAAAAGAGGAGACCTTTTGCTTTCAAACTAACTTATAACTATACAAGTGTTGGGAGGAAAAAGCAGAAGATGCAGGAGATAAATGTAGTTACAAATAATATTGATCACTTTGTTTGTTTGTGAGATAGAACAGTGATTATTTTTTCTTTATTTACTCTGTTTTGATAGAAGCATCTAGTTTGATCAATATTCTCACGAGCTGCGTTTACCACGTCTCATCTCTGCCATTCAGACAGGATTTTTTGCTGGAGTTGTGTAGTTGTGTGTTCTCGGGCTAGTAAAATAGTTGACAGGAGAAAATAATCACTGTTTTGTTTTGTTTTTTTGGACAGAGCAGCTCGGTTTAAGTAATTCTAAGAATAATGAACATGGCTATGCAGGGTCTCAATTAGAACCAGTCCATTTCCACACAAAGTCAAATCTAGTGTTATGAAGCCGAAAAACAACGCAAAAGGTGCAACATGTAAACACGTGATAATAGAAATCAGGCTGTGAAATATCAACGTGACAGGATACCATGGTGCCCCAGTCCCTGATAATTACGGAGCAGTTATGAATGCAAAGATCTCAGCTTGATAAGCTTTCTTTCATTACTCTACACCGTCAGAGTCCAGTGGTTTAACGCATGGCAATAAGTCAGAACACACAGAAAATGAAAGTCAAAGCGCTGATTATACAAACACTTTGGCAGTTAATCAGCCTTTTCATTCTTTCACATGTTCTTGCGGCTTTGACGTTCTTCAACTCTGGTGATGAAAAGTTTAATTTCATGCCTTAACAGTTCCTTGGTAGAAGTCCTCGTACAGGAACAGAGCATAGATTTCTTTGAATAGTTCAGCTGGTGGCTTTTCTTAAGTATGACGAAGGCTCGTAAATAGTGTAATTATTTTCTATTCAATAAATAAAAGTATTACAAAAAAAAAGAAGAATCAAATTAAATGACTGAATGATGAGGTGAGTAATTTAAACATTAAAAACAGCATCTCCAACACCAACCAGGTTTAAAAGCAAACTGTAATGTCTGCTGAAAGGTGTTCACCTGCCTACTGAGCCAATACCAGTCTCAACAGATGGATAAGATTTTTCTGGGTGCCAGAACAAAGCAGAAAGTTTTCCACAGTTCTGCAACTCTCTCCAAACTCTGGCTTAGAGAGCTGCTCTGTGCTTTGTTGTTGTGTCAAATGCCATTCCAAATTCTTACCTTTTAAAAACATTCCTCAAAGACTTAGGATCTCTTTTCTTTAAAGCTGCCGATCCAAGTCTTATTGTCCTTGAAATTTAAAACTTTCCACACCAAAGTCGATGCAGCTTGTTACACAGTCATTAACATAATCTCCATGTAGCTCATAGAATCTATTCAAGTCAGTGGCCTAAAAGCATCCCTTCACTGTATGGGGAAGAAAATGCAACATTTTTTAAATGTTTTGTTGCCATGAAGCACCTGACAAACTGTTCAATGGTGAGAGTTGGATCAGAGGGGGAATATGAATGAAAGCGCTATATTTTCAGCCTGGCAGTGGCTGGGCTGATGACGTCTGCTCTGAAAAGGACTAAGCCATCTGTGTTGATACACACTGCGATACCTCTGCTGTCAGAGGCCTGTATGCGCTCCAACGGGTGACTTCTCTAAAAGGTTTACTGGGTTCTCATGAGAGTTTTAAGCTCATCCATTTTATCTGGTAAGTGACCTCATATCCCAGAGATGATCACAGAAAATTTCGGTTTTAACTTAATCCAGCTATTTCTGTGTCTTGTTCCGCTCTAACATCCACAGCAATTCTTCTCCCCTCCTCTGGGATATTGGCATTTTTTCTTGGCATTTGGTGGCATGAGAAAAGTTCAGTTGTAAGCTGTTTTCTGCAGGCAATGTTACTCATTATACTAGATGTTGATTTGTGTTAGAAGCCCGATGTGCAGCAAAACTTACTAAATGATTTCTTTCCAGGACAAGCAGCTTAGTGAAAAAAAAAATCCCCTACACCCCACCAAAAAAATCCAAAATACATCCCTCGTTCACCTACCTTCTAGCAGTGGCGGCTCATCATCGAAGCTGTTGCTGTACATGGAGTGTGATGCGGATGGGGTGTAGGTTTGCGTGGGCTGGAAGATTTGTCCTGTATATGGCTGCTGGGGCGGCACCACTCCCGGGGAAGTGTAGCCCATAGGCTGAGAGTAATCATACTGACCATATTGCCTAGATAAGAGAAAAAAGTGTATTCTTTAGGACAAAGACCGCCAACTCAACTGACCTCCCCACGTAGCTGAATTGTCATCTCCACGTTTTTCCAAACAAATACACTTGGGATTTCAAATATTGTGCAGGGTAAGATAAAAACACGCTACATTTTTGTTGTTGTTGTTTGTTTTTATCTTAGCCTGGACTCAACAGGATTTGATGATGCATCAACAACTGAGGGAGAATCTTAAAAAAAGCCTTACTTGTTGTAGGGGTTTTCAGCGTTGCTGTAGCCATAGCCACCCTGGTTTTGGTCATCTACACTGTAGCTGGACTGGTAAAAGTCTGTGTTGAAGTTGTCAAAACCTGACATTTTGTACTTTGGTGGCTAAAAAAAAAGAATACAAATATAATCAGATTTAACAGCTCAGACTTTATTTAAACACATAATCATTATATTCCTTAAGTTTCTACATTTATAGAAACACTAACCCACATCGGTCACCCAAATGTGCTTCCAGAAATGTTTATGTAATAGTGTATCAAAGAGTACCATCATATGTGTTTTGACATTCACAACAGTGACTGTCATTCTAACATTATCTTCAGTTTGCATTTCAGTACATGTAATGTACATTGGACGATTACACAATTGAATACTTATAAAGGGCACATTTATTAGTGACAGCTGAAATATCGAGTGCATCAAAAGCTGTTTCTAAGTCTGATAACATTTAATGTTCCAGTGACAAAGTTATACCTATTTGTGATTTTCAATGTAGTATTTATGTATAGAAAAACAAATAAAACTAGATGAAGACAAATGAAGACAGAGGGGTTCACCGTATAGTAAAATAACCAAGATCACAAGTAACATATGGAAGCGCCGGGCAATGCTTCACCAGGGTCTGGTTGATGTTACAGAAAACAGGATCAGCCACAGGAATTAACTCAATGTTAGATGAGGCATAGATATACAGAAAAAACATGATCTGTGTTAGTATACAGAGTCACCAAGTGATTTTTTCAAGGTATATAAAAGGAATATTCAGCAATAACCAAATTAAAAATGCAAGCTAAACCCAAAAACGCCTTAAGTTGTTAATGACAAAACTAAACGCAAACATCCACTAATGACAAGTTAAAAAAAAAAAAAGATATTTCTCCATGCGTCACTACCTACGAATATCTAATATCAAAATGGACTATTCCATTTTTAGCTAAGTAAAACAATTTTCTTACACCCCAGTACTGAAAAACAATTATTTCGAATCCATTCATATAAAACAGCTTTTTAGCTTATGTAAATTAACCAAACAGTAAAAATGTTTCGTACAATATCTGGTAAATGTCGACGTTTCCAGAGTTAACAATGAGAGTGATATTGTGCTAATTAGCTTACATTAGGATACCGTTAGCTTCGTCTGACAGAGCTACCGGCTTCGCAAACAAAACCAACGAAAATATTATTATTTAAAGTTCACCAAGTTTATCTATCATGATACATTCTGCCATCAGCCAAAATATGGACGGATAACATACATGTCAATATGCAGTAACACGTATACCAATCTTGAATTTGATAACGTAGTGTTCACTTGGATCTATTTTGGTGGCTAATGCTAGATGGCTAACGCAGACACCTATATAATAAATGTTGCTCAGGTTGTCCAAATTGGGTATTTCTAAATATTTACACAGACTCGCTATTTTCACACTCTGATAGCACCATAGGTAACCCACTCTTACCTGTTTCAGTGTACAACTCTACACGGAGCTCAGCCAACTTGATTGTGGTTGCTACGTGTCAGGAGAGAAGTAAATCTTCCGGTATGGTACGTAGCAAACGGAAAGCCGTCTGGGCCAAAAAGCTTAAGGCGTTTCAGAAAATATGTCTCTGAAGGGAAATTTTGGTATTGCATTGCTGGTGTCGTGGGCCCTTGAGTGAACATTTGACTGGGTCCCGCCCCAATTGACTGGAAGCTACTGCAAAGCCTATTAGTTGTGATAATTATGAGTATTGGTAGGATAAAACTATAATGGTAGGCTACTATTAGTATGATACACCTTGCCTCTTCCACCAATATCGCTGCCTGTATGTCCTCTACTGTTGTTTGTTCCTCTGTGGCCTCCAGGGTTTTTTTTACCTCTAAATTCCTCAAACGTTATAAGAAGCTACATAGGTGGCCTTCCTGTTAGGCCTGGCCAACTGCTTTTTTATTGAGATTTCTTTCTCAAGTTTCACTGTTACTTGACTGTTATTTTTTTATGTACTGCTCTTAAATGATCTCGACCCTACAGCTGGAGGCCTGGAGCTTTATAAGCGGTATAGAAAATGGATGGATGGATGGACAAACAAAAATTGCACCTATTTCATAAAGACAATGTTTGTTGCGCCCATCCATATCGTATCTGGTTGCTCATACACTTGAAATACCTGAAGTTGTACGCAACTGATATGACACTATTGGATTTTGAAGTGTGGTTTCAGAAAATTAAGGTATGATAATGGTCAGAAAATAGAGACTGAAGACAGATTATAAATGAAGAGGAACAAGCACCTTGCTCCTGGGAAGAAGAAAGGTAGTCTTTTTAGAAAGAAAGCAGTGAAAGAGATCATTCACCCAGCATGTGGAAGAGAATTGCACCGTTTCGGAATTCAGGTGGATAAACCCTCTCTGATGATACAGATGATGCAAAGCAGTGGACACATGACCTCTATTCATTGGAAGTAAGGAAAGTGGGACATTGGAGACAGAGGCAGAATCACAAAGCTGGGTTTGATATGCAAGACATTCAAAACTAAAAAGTCAGACAAGTATGTGAATGAAAAATGTTGGCGAGTCCCTTCAACTATTACTATCATCTTTTGTATTTCTTTCATTAAGAGGGTATAAAATGCTCGCTTTAAAAGTAATCCTTTAAGATTATTGATGGTTAGAGGACAGCAGTTGTTGCAGGTGTAAAATTACAGAGTTGATATCAAACTGACTCAGACCTTAAAAGTATCATATCACAGGCCTTTTTTATTTATCATAAAATCTTTAAACCATAAAGAAGTTGTGTGCTAAGTAAATTGTGTTGGACACCACAGTTGTAATTATGTGTAGCCCTTTTCTTATAGTTAAAATAGTTTGACTCACGATAACTCCACAAAACCTAAATGGCTTCTGACTTTTTCTGTGAGGATCTGAGCTGCCTTCTCAAAATACACAAAGGGACTCAAAACCATATATATATGTATATATATATATATATACTGTATATATATGTATATATATACAATATATATATATATACATATATAAACTGCAGTCTTGACATGGATAATTTTTCTGTCTCAATGTAAACAAATTCAATTTGATGCATGAAACAAGAATTCTAACAGTAAAGACCCATGACTAATCATTAGTAGAAATGAGCTGTTTCCTCTTCATTGCCTCTCATCTTTCTTTAGACTTTTAATCATCCTCATACTTGAGGAACTCATTTTTCTTCCTAATCCACTTAATTAAAGAAAATTGAAAAATGTCAGAGAGGGTAATTGAATTTAGGGCAGTGTATTGACACATACAGTCGTAATTGCATTCTTTTATACAGTCTCTGTTGTAATCCTTCTGTCACTGGGTGGATGAGTGGATTAAAAGCACAGAAATTTCCTCTATTGCAGCAAACCCTTATCTCCAACCACCCGCTGTATCCTCCTGAAAGATTTCTCTCGCTGCCTCCACTGCATCAAGGAGAAAATATGCTCCCCAGCTAAAAACATATGCAGATAGTAGATCATTTCCCACTCGCTAAATATTCAGAAATTGAATGAAGTCACACACACACACATGCAGAGCTGGATAGGCACATGTATTAAAAAAAAAAACGTGTTAACCTCCTTTTATTGATCTAATTTAATTTCCAGCTACCCTACTGGTGTAAGTGTAGTACAGATCATGAATCAGTTGGCATCTGGTACTCACCAGGCCTTTTTCCCCGTGACGGCTGTCTTTGCTCTGTGTGAATGAACTGGATGAGCTCTAAAATAACAACTCACAGCTGAGGAGTTTGGGAGATTTGTTTGTTCCGAAATAAGATTTCCCTCCACTTGAGATCTAAAAACTTTTACCAAAGCAATAGATCATATCAGTATATTTACCGGAATGGGTTGATTACACTGGCAATACAGAAGAAGAAAATAAAAAGAACTCACGGCACAAAAGAGAATGTCAGATTGCATTCAGTTACATTTATGTAAGAAAAGCTATGTTAAGAAAATATGAAAGCTTTTGTGATTACATATAAATACATAAAATGTATGTGTGTTAAGAAAATATGGAAGCTTTTGTGATTACATATAAATACATAAAATGTCATTCTAATATCGAGACAGTATGGAGCTTCCTTGTGTATTATCAATCGATTTCTTAGGTGTAATGTCTGCATGAATCATTGCCTCAAGTGTGCTCCCTGCTCCCCTCATGGTCAGAGCACCTCTCCAGCAGAGACCCTCCTGCTGCGATGTTCCTCTGTGAACCATAGGCTGTAAACAGCCAATGATGTGAACACCAGCGGCGGAAAAAAGATCAGATCCAATTGTCCGTGAATTCCTCGAAAAAAAAAAAAAAACTCTCTGCCATTCATTTGTGGTAATACAAGATCCAGTGATGTTACGATGGGCATAAATTAGCTTTCAGTCCACTCAGTGAGAGAAAGACAGAGAGAGAGAGACAGAATCTTTTCTAACAGCGCATAAGGGAGAAATTTTTGTCTTGTTTTTAAAGGGCAGAATGGACGATGAAAGGATCTAAGGCCAGTCTCAGCGCTGAGGCCAGTGTTTGAAGATTACAGATATCTTGCGTGAAAGAGTAAATAGATGTAAACAGAAAACTAGTCCTCTAATTTCCAGTTTTTCACCGAGACAAGAGCATCCACGCCGCTGCAATATTAATTTCAGAGTGTTTACAGCTTTGCTTTAATCCGTGCTCAGTAGCAAAAGCTAATGATGCGCTCACCATAACAGGGTGGAAGGTGTGATTTCATAAAGCCCTGCATCTGTTTACCACCAGTTGTGATGCTGCTCATTGCCTGTTTGAATGTCCATTCACAGATTCCAACGGCTGAATTTTGTGAAGGGGACTCTTCTGTTTATGTTCAGGATGAGAAAAGATATTCCGATATTCTATAGTCTACACTTGTCTTGTGTAGCTCGTTGTCATCTATCTATCCTTTTCTCCATTCAGGGATCAGTGTCAGTGATGCAAATCTAGCTCTGAGCAATAATAAAGGTCTGTTCTTTGAGCTCTTTCTTCATTTGACTGTTGTGAATTTAAATATCAAGATAAGTCTGACGAGAAGTCTATGAACTCATTCTGAGAAACATACAGAAAATCTGAGACTTCTTACATAACAGAAAATAAAGCGACTTAGACACACTCTGTTGGAAAGCCATAGTGTAGTTCAATGCCATTTAATCTTATAGTATATTTATTTTATCTATTAATATTACAAATGTATCTTTACATGATTTTGTATCGGTACAGTCTTCCTTCTGTGCTTTACGTAGGAAATCACAGAGGGTAAAACCATATTAGTTGGAGTGTATTTTGGTCTTCTAATGTAGGATAATTTGAATTGATTATGCCATCGTGTACAGCACATGTTATGGTCAAAAGATTCAGAAAATCTGTAGACTTTAATGTTGGATGCATATGAGCTTGAGGTCCTCGGGCATCAATTTTGATGTGTGAGATTAGTTGTATGCATGTTTCAATTTACATTTTAAACATATCCCCAACTTTTTAGGGATTTGGGCAGACATTTTGTCAAAACCTCCATTTCAGGAGGAAGGCATATTAGAATGTTCATCGAAAATGTTGTTTTCCCCACACATAATGGGTAAGTGGGCTATGTGAACAACAGATGCTTTTTTTGAGTGTTTGGGCTTCTATTTGTTGTGTTTGAACAGCAACAAAAGCTGGAAAAGTGCAGGAAAGAAGCCCATAATCCAAAAAACAAAAACACAAAAAGAACTCAAGGTGTGCTGCTACTTCTAATTTGCAGTGGGTGAAGACAAGGCTCTCTTAAGATTCAACAGCAGCTACACACCAGCCCCAAGATTTGTAATTCCTGTCAACTCTCCTCTTTGTGCATTGTGGCTCCCCACTGGAGGATCTCCATTCTTGAGGAAATTTATGATGGCAGGAGTGAGCAGAGACCCACTGCACGTTCAATTATTTGTCTCCTAGTCACCAACTGTCCCCTTCATTTTCCCAGATTTCCATTTGTTCTCCGTTTATGTGGTTCAAACAGATGGATTTATGTAGCGCTCTCCTGTTTGCCTCATTCATCCGCCTGCTGTATTATATGCTTCCCTGTGATTTAACAACACATTTATGGAATATGCTTTACACTTGACGTTGTGTGAAAACAGCAGATTGCTGGTAGTATTAGCTGAGCGAATATAGTTACTATACCTTTAAAAGAATTTCACAGCTCAAAGAAATTCTGGAGATTTGGCGCCGTCAAGAGATCCGTCACAGGCTCAAGACCTGTGGAAACTATCCTTTAATCCCAAGAACCTAAAAGTACAGCATGGGGAAAACCTGGAGAGAGAGACATTTGAGAGAGAGAGAGATGTGTTGTGCTCTCTCACACAGAGAGAAACACACACCACGGGAGTGCTGACTATGGGAGGAAACCTTCACGGCTATCCACCCCTCCGCAACGTTCCCACATGGCCTTTTAGCTGGCAGGGGGAAGGGTGGATGCTTAGCAACATCTCATCTATGTGGTTTGCCACATCAACATGATCGGGATCCCTCCGGGCTCGGAGCGCTCCGCTGT